CTTCCTTTCTTTCTATCCTTTTTATCTTTTCTGTGTATTTTCTTCTTCCACCTAACCTCTCTTTCGCTGCTTCTTTTTTCTCTTTTCGCTGCTTTCTTCAAATCACTTTTCTTTCTCTCACTTTCACTTCCTACACTTCCCTACTAGATTATTTTCCTTCGATGCTATTTTGCTTCTATCCTTTACTAATTTCCTTATAAATTTCGCTTCTTTTATGCGCTGCGTTACGCTGCACTCCTTCTCGTTCCAAAGTCCAACCGGAAGTCCGAGTAATCAAAATATTTTCCATCTTTGTCCAGAGCTTTGACGAATTGCTCCATGCTTTAGTTTGATATGATGGAATGGAAGTGAAAAGTTTAAAGGATTTATTAAAGGATCACAGACGATATTTTTTATACCTGGATCAAAAACTGTTCTCCGTAGTTACTATTTCTGTACATAATGATTTTTCCTATATCTACTATCCTACAGATACAAAAAACAATAATGTATTGTAAAACCTAATTGCTAACCTAGAATCAGAGTTGAGATTTTGACATCACTACACATTTGCCATTTTATACGCGTAATTAATTTTCTTAAAAAACTATTTTCAAATTCTCGTATGATTCCTGCAATTTTGTTGAGTAGGCTATTGAAATAGGTACAAACCACTTTCCATTGTTTAAAAGTACAGCTTTTAGGCTCCGTTTAGAAGAATCGATAAATAACCTTCACTCTTCATCTTTATAAATATTAGGTCTCAATTCATTCATTAATCCTTTCACATTTGTATAGAATATAATCGAGTTCTCTGTATCTTTGGCAAAGAACTCGCGTAACTTCTTTTCCTTATTCCTATAAATATTAGTTATAGTCACCATGAACAACAGGTTTTTCTTTTTCAATACTGCGGCTAGATATTAGCTCTATTTTTAGGCAATGCTAAATCTCTTATGAGACCAATCTACTCCTTTTTATCAAAAGTTTCTGATGTCTCATTGTTGCTAACGCCTGGTAAATATTCATCTTCTTCGTTATCACTTTGAATATTGCATTCCTCATCTGCGCATTCAATAACTTCCATTTCCACTGGCGCAAATGAATCATCAACTTCTATATGTTAGCGGGCAGAACCTTCCCCTCTGGGTTTATGTTTTTGTTTTACTAAAAGTTTCTTAGTAAACATGATTTCAAATTTATTAGTTACGTCAAAGCCAAATGGATAGGTCTTACTTAGAGAAATAGCAATTATTTAGGCAAAATGATTTTAACTGCAGAAGCTCAGTGTTTCCATTTTAATTGAATACTTGAGTTCGTAATAACATTATTACAAATTATGCGAGGCATTCAGTTCATATTTCGATTCATAAGCGTATTATATAAACTTATTCCATTTTTCATCTCAGTTACAAATTTAACACAAACTTAATAGAAATAGTGATATTTGTTATCACATCTGAATTTTTCGTATGCCGGAACCCAAGGTATCTTCACATGTTACGGGAGAAAACGGCTTATTGTTCTGATTTTGTTTTTCGGCAAAGCACTGAGATGAAGGGACGATGCCGTCATAGCTGATGTAAGAGAGGTACAATGCAGGGTTTTAGATGCCCAATATCGGCGATTGGTCGAGGTGAGCAAGAGCAATCATCGTCATCAAATGAGCACAGCTTTACATTGACGGACAACTTGGCCTTTGTAGAGTATAATGTTAAAAGAATAGACTCTACATGTTATTGGTGTAACGAAAATTCTGATAATTTCTGTTATGTTTGTGAAAAATTTGAAGTGCTGAAAAAATTTTTATACTTTTTGTTATGCCAAATGGGTGAATGGAGAATTGATACAACAGACTGTTAGTTTATCGTTTTTTCGAAGCGAGCTCATTAAATGCATAATGTCTACAAGTGTCTATATGTGCATCCGAGATATTCAGCGTACTAAAATCAAAGCTATGAAATCTTCACTTGCAAACACATCTCAGCATTTAGTAATGCATGTAGACTTTGTTGAAAATAGGACAGTTATACTTAATAACGCGGTTCAAGGTAACTATTGGATAAATAACCAGATAACTATTTCCACCGCTGTATGTTATGTAGGAAAAATAACCAAAAGATTTGTAATTGTAAGTTATGATAGAATACACGATTCAGCGCATGAATTAATGGGAATCAATAAAATAATAGACATAATGAAAAGTGAACATCGTCCGTTCGACTCAATAAATATTATATCAGATCGAGCAGCTGCTCATTTCAAAAATAGATTTCAACTGTATGAACTGATAAACAGTAAATTCAATAGGTACTGAATATTCTCTGCCACTGGGCATGATAAAGGAGCAGCTGACGGCATTGGTGGTTTCCTTAAGCACTATGCTACAATGAACAATTTGAGAAATCCTTTGAATAGTATACTAAGTGCTCAAACCTTTGTTCAAATAGTATCTACCTATTCAACTGCTATTAAGTTAGTATATTTAAAAAGTGATGATATTGAAAAATTTAGAGAACAAAAACTTGTGGAATGGCAGTAAAGTAAGAAACAGCCAGAAATTCAGAAATGACTTGGTATATGGAAATTTAATTACGATAAAAAAAAAGAGACAAATGCTATGTTGCTCGAACGGCTGATTATGAGTGGTGTGAAATTCAAACGTCTGGACAACAACAAAAATCCCGAAAGCCACGATCAACTATGACAGAAAAGTCTATTTCTACGAAGAAAACGAACACCGCAAGAAGACTACAAACTTTGAAAATTAAGCGTTTCAAAAATATAAAAAGAAACAAAACGAGTACTAATAAGAAAAAAAAAAATAACAATTTTAAAATCCAAACTTTTTAGTTTTTTTTCGGTTTTTATTTTATTTATTTATTTTTTTTCGTGCTAAAAACAAAAAAAAACCATTTTATGAGTTATACCATTTTAAAGTACATGTAAAGGCCTATTATCTCCAATTTTTTCAGAGAAAAAAAGATGCAAAAATGTGTTTGTTCAAAAAGAGCTATATTTCCTTTATTTTTGAATTTTTTTTATACTAAATGCCGTCAGAACAAATTAAATAGGTCAAATTTTTAATGAAAAATCGATATTAAAGCAATTTTTTCCGGAATTTCGATAAACGCAATATTTTCATCTTAATTTTCAAAATTTCATAACACATGCAATTTTCATGTAATCGAAAAATACGTGTCGGCTTATTTTCCAAGTAGAACTATATACTCCATTTCTAGAATGATCCACAAACCAAGCGCCATGACCGTCGGTGTCTGGAGATGGATTCGGTTATTTGATAAGTTCATAACTACTTGCGAAAATTGTTTTAATTGAAAGGTTGTCAGCCAAAATATATTCTAGGTATCTCATATAATTAGCAATTATAGCAGGACAATGTTATTGCGATAGGAGAAAAATCGGGATCAAAATCAGCTCAAATTTATACAACCTACGATATGCTCTAAACCATCATATTGAGAGGATTGCTATTTCTGTATGTCCAATACATTTGACTTCAATGCATTTAGGAATTTTTATTTTTAATAAATTTTTATTTTTATTTATTAATAAACAAATACAAGTTATATATATATAACGTTATTTGAGGAAATTTACACAAATTATTAAACCATGTAAATTATATTTAAATAAAAAAACACATACGAGGATGGTGTACACAGCATCCAAAAAGCGCTTGGATGCTGTGTACGGTGACTCTTCTCCTTCGATGGCGATTGTAAAAAATTGGTTAAACGAGTTTCAACGTGGTCGCACGTCGATTTTTGAAGAGCCACGTCCAGGTGCTCCGAAAACGGCTACATCGGAGAATAACGTGACAAAAATTCACGATCTCGTATTGGCAGATCGACGATTGAAGGTGCGCGAGATAGGTAAGATCGTAGGCATCTCAAAAGACCGCGTGGGTCATGTCCTGCATGAAATTTTGGGCATGAGAAAGCTGTCAGCGCGATGGGTGCCGCGTTTGCTCACTCCGGACAACAAGCGCAACCGTGAGACAACTTCAGAGCAATGTTTGACGCTGTTTAAGCGCAATCCGAAGGAGTTTCTGCGTCGTTTCGTGACAGTCGACGAAACATGGATCCACTGGTATAGACCAGAGACCAAGGAACAGTCGAAACAGTGGACTTTACCCGGCGAAAGTGCTCCGAAGAAGGCGAAGATTTCCCCATCGACCGGAAAGGTGATGGCCACCGTTTTCTGGGATTCACAAGGTGTGATCTACATCGACTACCTGGAGAGGGGCAAAACGGTCACAGGGCTGTACTATGCCGAATTATTTGGACGATTCGACGTCGAATTGCAGAATAAATGGTCCCATTTGGCGAAAAAAAAAGTGCTCTTCCACCATGACAACACACCGGCTCACACCTCTGCCGTCGCCATGGCCAAATTGGTCGAATTAGGCTACGAACTGCTGCCCCATCCACCGTATTCTCCAGATTTAGCCCCGTGCGACTTCTTTTTGTTTCCAAACTTGAAAAAGTCACTCGCTGTGCAGAAATTTGAGTCGAATGAGGAGGTAATCGCTGCCACGGAGGCCTACTTTTCAGACTTCGAGGAAACGTATTTTTCAGACGGGTTAAAGAAGTTGAAGCATCGCTGGGCCAAGTGTATCGAATTAAAAGGAGACTATGTTGAAAAATGAATCGCCACTTTTCCAAAATTTTCGTTTTTCTTTTGTAGGGTAAGTACTTATCGGACCACCCTCGTATAAAACAATAATCATTTGCATATGGTACGGTATTCATTATAATGGAATAAAATAACCAATTTGTTAATTAATATTACAATGAAACAATGCTATATTATATCACTAATATTTGATATCTCTATTCCACATAAACCAAAGTCAGTATGATAATAAACTGAGCTCAGATGATGAATTTTCATTAATTTGAGTATCGATGGAACTAACAATTGATCTATATGTAATGGGTGAGATGCCTTATATGTTGCATTATTTTGACTATTAATGAGACCAACATTTGATGTATTTAAGTCTCTACATAGCGTCCCATCCTCTTTGGCTGTTCTACTCTGAACAAAATTAACTGAAAAATTAATAAAATGAAACAATAATCATAAATCCACATGATTTATCTATTAACATATTTGAGCTTGATGAATTTCTTGTAGACATTTCAGCATCTATACCATGTCCACTTGTTATATCATTGAAAGCTTGTCTTTCTTGGTTGGAAGAATACCAAAACATATTTGTTCACAAATTTACCTTTTATTAGTTACAGAATCTCCTATATATCCTTCAACAATTTTCGTCCAACCACCACGTCTTTTCAAAATTTCAATGTTAGCCCTAGCATCAATAAAAAGTGTCGCACAAATCCTTCTAAAACTATGGCTTGCACACAATTTCGTATCAAGCAACTCCAAAAATTTAGCAACTTTACTTGGAACTAATGCAAAATTGCTCGTATTAACACCAATAGGCTGTTAATCACATATACAATAATATATCACTTTTACAAACTTTAGGCCTGGCTACAATATACTTTTTGCAAAAATCATAAAGCCCTCCATTAATAACTGTAAAAACTCTTAGTATTTTATTTTTAGAGTAATATTGATCTTAACATACAAAGAATCTCTCACATGTGTAAAATCATCCTTCACTAAATTAATCATCTCATCTCTTTATAATACACCAAGAATTCCATATACAACTAACTGCCTGTCATTGGTATACAAATAATAAATCATAAAAATAAAACTTTTTACGAAATTTTGTACCTTTGTAGATGAGTATACATCATTTGATTACTCATTTAAAAACTTTGCCGTTTTCACTAGTAAATAACATGGCTTTTTTGGCACATAATCTTCATTCTTCCTTCAGACACAATTTCTAACTTTTCTTCTTCCTCCAAATCAATACTAGAAGACATTGTAACTATATAACAAATTAATTCTCAGATGCCTTCAATCTCTTGGTATGCCCTCAAATAAATTAATCTAATTACTATTTAAGATACACCAGCTAACTAAACAATAATAAGGTAAGTAACTAGGAGCAACAAACATAACATGGCGGATTTAATCGCATATGAGCTACAAAATAGTGAACGATACTCGTGCCATAAATGTGCCTGCATGCGCACGTGTAGCGAGAGTAGATTAACTCGCACAGTTGCATTAGGAAAGGGAATGAAGTAGATAAGCAATGCATGTTTCAAGACATTATTCTCTAAGCACTAGAGACCCTAATTTTTTGATCAGTAGAATTAATAGCCAGATTAATTTCTTTTTGATAAAAAATAGGGACCCTGTTGTATAGCATTGGTCGCTCGCCTATGTTTAAGCATATACTCGTACGTATGTTTCAGGACAGATTTGTCCCTAGGAACTAAAGCCATATCCTGATAGTTTTTGATAAGTAGAATTAACTTATTTATAGACAGATTGAGGTCATTTTAATAATTATATTTTATCTTGAATTAAATAACAAATATAGAAAGAACATTTCGTCATGTGTTCGGCTGAGCTACAATTTTTTCAAAAAATGAACAAACGCATCGGGAAATCGAACCCGCGTTCTCTGGATCCACAAGCCGGCGCTCTACCATTGGAGCTACTGCGTCGTGTACCTTGTATATTTCTCAGTATGTATACAAGTTACATATTTGGCATAGGGCCCGAGCGCGTGGTGGTGGGGTGCGCGTGCTCTCTATAGTTGTAGCTCTGGATGGCTTGAAAGCGCGTTGTGGGGTGTGCGTACACTCTCTTATTCTCTATATGTATATATATCATATATGTATATATATGTGAACAGGCACTTATGCAGACAAATGCAAAATGAATGGGCACTTATGCAGAGATTTTGTAAGTTATGCTGACAGCTGCATAAGTTTTTTGTTATTACCTTCATGTACAGGTACTTATGTTGACTGTCCGCACAAATAGCCTGGTTTATGTAACGGTATTTCTGATTACTTGTCTGGATAAATTGTAAATATACAACTTGTACTGTTATACAAATTATACTTTATGTATAATCCAGGATTCATTGTTTTTGTAATTTTTTGTCGTGGCCTATTACTTGTATAAATTAAATATTCTGGTCTTTTTTAAATATATTTGCTATAAAGCGACTATATTTAAAAAACAACCATTATATTAGTTATAACATTAATCTTATATTTATAATTTACATGTATATACAATTTTTGTTTCTAATTTGTCATTTTTATGATTGCATGGTTATGTTGATATAACGCGTAATTTTTCTTGATAACTCGAACAAAAATTGTAAAATAATAAAATATTTTTGTTTGAATAACAGTTTAGTATTGTAAAATAAAATCTTAGCGCCCTGTCACATAAACGGATACGCAGACGCATATATTTCGTTTGAGTTATTTACAAAAAGTATTATTCAAAAACAAAAGTGCAATCATGAGAAGTACGACCATTCCAGGTTGAAGTGTCAAGTTGGAGGTTTGCTATTTTTGCCGGATCTGAAGTTCATGGAGATATTCTTTATGCCATTTGTTCCAGAAATTTTGACAAGCCTTGATCAAGAATTTGGACGTAGAAAGACGGTTATCTGGAACTGATAAAAGAGATTTTTCCGGTAAGACATTTATAGGTCTACCGATCAAAAGGTGAGCTGGAGTAACTGCTAGTGGATCGTTCGGGTCAGATGAAAGCACACAAAGAGGTCGCGAATTCAAGATTGCTTCGATTTTGATCAGAAAGGTCTCTAGTTGCTCATAGGTGAGCTGTTGATTCAGAACACGTTTCAAATGATGTTTAAAACTCTTGACGGCCGCTTTCCAAAGACCTCCAAAATGTGGCGACAAAGGAGGGTTGAAGTGCCACTCCACTCATTTAGCGATACCAACTTCTCCGATTTGTTTGTGGAATTCAGGGTTATTGAACAAATCGTAGAGTTCTTGAAGTTCACGATTTGCTCCTACGAAATTAGTACCATTGTCAGAATACATGTGACTAGGAAGACCTCGACGACATGTAAACCGATCAAAAGCATCTAAGAAACCTTGAGTAGATAAATCGAGAGCCAGTTTGATATGGACGGCCTTGGATGCTAGGCATACAAAAACACAACCATAGACCTTGAGGAAGGAATTATTGCGATGAGCTTTTTCTTTAATAAGAAGTGGACCAAAGAAATCAACCCCCGTATGATCGAAGGCCGGAGATTCGGAGACTCGAGGTTCTGGTAAAACTCCCATTTGAGCATGAGGCGTAGGTGGTTTTTGACGAATGCAATCCACGCAACATAGAATGACTCTCCTAACTTGATTTTTTCCATTCAAGATGAAGAATTTATTGTGAATGGCATAAAGAGTGGTTGAAATACCTGCATGAAGATTGGAAAGGTGAGTTTGACGAATTATCAAGTCTGTAATATGGTAATTCTGAGGCAAAAGAATTGGATGCCTTTGATTATATGGAAGCTGAGACTTGTTTAGATAACACGAATGACGCTGTTATCTCCTACGAAAGGAGCCAGGTTGGCGAAAGGAGTTCCCCTTTTGAGAGACTTCGTAGTTTGAGATAATTTGCGGAATTCATTGGGAAATCTTTCTTGTTGCATCAATTTAACGACGCAAATATCAGAAGCTATAACTTCTGAAGGGAGGAGGGGGCGAACTGATTGAAGACCTTTCGTCATCCTTATTGACGACTCTCTAACCTCGGAAAACAATTTAGTTGTCTCACCTTGATTACGAGACGTTTGTCTCCATCGAAGAACATATGCTAGCACTCTGGTCAATCGACCATAGTCGGAGAAACGTGAATAAATTTCACTGAACGATGAACTTGGCGTTGTTAAGAGACATACTCCTTTTTTGAGACCAGGAAGTTCCGTAAGAGAAGTTTCAATAGATTGGGGCCATTCCTGAGAAGGCAGGGAAAGCCAAGACGGACCTGAAGTCCAAAGTGAGTTATTTAGGAAATCGGATGGCAGTTGTCCTCTAGAAAGAGCGTCTGCAGGGTTGTCCTCTGAACGGACGTGTCTCCAAGAAACTTGTTGACCTAAAGTCTGAATATCAGCAACCTTGTTGGATTCAAAAACTCTGAGAAGATGAGGAGCTTTCTTTAACCATGCGAGAACGATCGTGGAATCAGACCAAAAAATTGTTTGATCGATTAAGAAATCGAATTGGAATTTCGTATCGACGTAAAGTTTCTTGAGAACAGAGGCAGCGCACAATTCCAATCGGGGGATTGTCACACCACTCAAGGGTGCGACTCGAGATTTACTGCAAACCAAACGAACTTTCACATGGTTCGAGGAATCTACAGATTTTAAAAACAAACATGCACCATAACCGTAGTTACAAGCATCACAAAAACCATGAAGTTCAATCCTAGTTGGATTTGGAACTAAAAATTGTCGAGGAAGCGAAATCTGTTTCAGAAGTAATAGTTGAAAAGCAAAGGACTTCTATTTGGTATGGATATCTTGAGGAAGCGATTCGACCCAGCCAACCTTGGCTCTCCAGCAATCCTGAATCAAGACTTTGGCGAATAATACGACCGGACCTAATAAACCCAAAGGATCAAAAATCTTGGAGATTTCAGATAGAAGCTGTCTTTTTGTGGAAGCAGCTTGAAGATCGATACGACTCACAGAATATTGTAAGGTGTCTTTTCGAGAATCCCACACAACACCTAACGTCTTTTGGACAGGATCTTCTCTGACAACACAGTCGAGATCGAAGACCCTTTTGTCAATGGTATTTAGGGCAGATTGATGATTTGAAGCCCATTTTCGAATAACAAAGCCACCTCGGTATAACAAAGCTATCATCTCATCACGAATTGCCAAAAGTTCTTCAAGAGTATTTGCACCAGATATGAAATCATCGACATAAAAGTCACGAAAGAGCAATCTACTGGCTCTTGGAAAATCCCTGGCCTTGTCACGAGCAAGTTGTTGGATGGTGCGAATGGTGAGAAATGGAGCTGCAGCCACACCAAAGATGACCGTATTGAGTTGAAAAGTCCTGATTTCTCCTTGATGATACCAGAGAATGCTTTGAAATTTTCGATCATCGGGATGAACGAGAATCTGACGATACATCTTTTCGATGTCGGCAGTAATCACGAAAGGATGAGTTCGAAAACGAAGAACCTGTTCAAAAATGGTGTTTTGGATCGTGGGACCTACCATGAGAGTATCATTGAGAGAAATACACGTGGAGGTTTTTGAGGAAGCGTCGAAAACAACTCGAACTTTAGTAGTTTCACTGGACTCCTTTACGACCGCATGATGGGGTAGAAAATAACCGTCTTGGTCATCTTCACAAAGAGTCATGTGACCTAGCGGAAGATACTCCTTCATTACCTTGGAGTATTCAGCCTTCAATGACGGATTTCTCGCAAATTTTGCTTTGAGAGATTCTAAACGTTTGAGAGCTTGAGCCTTAGAATTTTCCAAATCAAATTTGGAGTCTCTGAATGGAAGACGAACAATGTAACGACCGGAAGAATCAAGCTTGGTGTGAGTCACGTACTGTTGCTCACATGCAATCTCGTCACGAGATTTATTAGGCTCATGATCAAGATCTTCGATCAGCCAAAAACGTTCGATGAGCTTGTCTAATTTAACTATGTTGCAAGACGTAGAACTGTAAGATGACTGATCGATACTTCCACCAGCCACAATCCAGCCTAAAGTCGTCTTTTGCAAAATGATTTTGGAATCTTCCCGTTGGAACTTAATCTGACCAACGGCAAGAACAGAGAGGGTGACGCTAGATGACAACAAGATATCGATCGGTTTGGGTAAGTGAAATTGAGGATCTGCCAATTTAACACCTTTAGGAATGTTAAAAAACTCACGTGGGAAAACGTCGTTAGGCACGGCTTCGGCTATTTTTGGAACTATTAAAAGTTGAATTTGTTGAATAGAATTGTTACATTTAGAATGGATACTAGCTTGAATGTACTTTTTTGAGACAGTGCACAAATCGTCAACTGCTCCAATGTTAACTGAACATGAAAACTCGGATAAATGCAAAGATTTAGCAAACCTTTCGGTAATTAAGTTTACAGTTGAGCAAGAATCTAATAAAGCACATGCCATGACAAGATTACCACGATTGTTTTTGATTTGGACTATGGCTGTAGTCATCAGTTGCGACTCTGAAGGAAACGCCACTGAGGTGAGTGAACTCTGAATTAGTCAACTCGAAATCGTGGGATTGGAAACCTTGTTACCATTTGATTTGGACGTGTTAGTGTTATGAAGAAGGGTGTGGTGTCTTTTGCCACACTCTTTATAGGTTTTTGTGCTACTGCACGGGAGTTTGTGGGTCCAAAGACAATTGAAACAAAGCTTGTTCATTATTGCGAAATCCCAACGTGATTGGACCTCAAGAGATTTGAAAGAGTCGCATTTGAACAGTTGATGTGAACCTTGACACTTAGGACAAACCAGAGAAGTTCGCGACGTCAGAGCTGACAAAGTCGACGACTGAGAAGACGTAGTGGCAAAAGAAGAGGTCGAGGTTTTGGAGATTTTTGAAGCTCGTTGAGGAGTTGAAGTAGCGGAACACTTTTGCGGGTTAGACTGATAGTCATTGGATTCCTCCAATGCTTCCTGCTTGAAAATGGCTCGCTGGATGAATTTGAACAAAGAATCCAATAATGGCAACTTATTAACATCTAACTTGTCATTCCAACGACTGTAGACGTAAGGAGGTAGGCATCTTTCGATGCAACGAACAACTAGATCTTCGCCAAAATTGACATTGAGACGTTTGAGGACATTAATGTGTTGTCGAGCTGAATCATACAATTCGGAAAGGGTGACTTCCTTCTTTTGGTCTTTATCCTTTCTGACCCTGGGAAGGTCGAGCAAGGCATTCAAATGACGAGTGGCTACGATACGCTTGTGATCGTAGAAATCGAGAAGAGCTTGCCAGGCGTTGAGATAATCTTCCGCGTTCATCTCATATTCGTCGATTTTCGCGCGAGCACTTCCTACCACGCTCGTGAAGAGGTAGTGAGCTTTGGCATCATCGGAGAGTGCTGTTTGATTGTGGACAAGAGCGGTGAACTGACTCTTAAAAAAAGCCCACTGCGAACGAGAACCGTCAAATTTCACGAGATCGATTTCGGGGAGACGAGCTCGTAATTGTTATTCGGTTACCGTGATGTTCGTGGCAGTCATAGTAGAATTAGCTAAGGGGTTGGGTAATATTCGTGGCTGTTGAACGTCATTGTATAGTCTGGTTACAATGGTAGCAGTGTTGTAATATTGAGCGTTGAGATTGTCGAATGAGTTTATGATCTCATTTTTGGGATCAATGTTAATCAGTTCGTCGATAAGTTCTGTCAGTTCGGTTCTTTTCACAGTCAAGTCAGTGAGTCGCAGTTTAGCATTAATAGCGTCAGGTTCGACAGTAACGTACATCGCGATATGATCAACTCCCTTTTGAAATGCCTGGTATTTCACCGTGATGAAATTTATTCTAGCATTTTGAGCTACAGTTGTAGCCATGGTGCGAGATTTTTTATTCTACGTTAACTATTGAAGGAAACAAATTACCGACAAGCGAAAACGGAATTTAACAATTTACGAATAAAATGAATTTAGATAAATATAAATTAGAATTAAATAAAAGTAGCTGATAGATAGAAATTAGAATTAAATAAAAAGAACGTAGTACTTAGAACAGCTGAAATAAAAACTATAAATCTTATCTTAGTTGGGATTATGTCCCTCGATGTGCAGACCACTGGGCGGCAAGGCTTCCTTGAATGGGAGTGACAGCTGGACGTTGAAAAGATGGAGATGTTGATGATGATGACGATGTTGACAAAAAATGTTCGGAGATGGCGTATTTGCCAATATTCAAGTTCGATGTAACACTAGACGAGTAACACAGACACGTAATGTTCGGTACGCGTGCGCGTGTCGACTTGTATGTGCGTGATGTCACTCGCGAACAAAAGATGAGGTTATGTCGACCTCACAGGAGGCACCATGTTTTGACGTGAAGATTTCACTCCTGAAATACCATAGGTGGTATTGCAGCAAGGTTTTATTAAAAAATACAAATGTGATTCAAGTCAGAAAATGATTTTTTATGTGGTTTGAACTTTAAGTTTATTGTGAATTCACCTTTAATTTTGTTATTTGAATTTTTCTTTAATCCACTTTGAATTTTTTCTCTTAATTTCTAATTAAAAAACACTGGGAAAAATGAAAACACCTTGTTGTGGGAAAAAAGCCTTTCGGCATAAAAAAACCCAATTTATTAAAAATGATACAGATTAAACAGATTCGGATGAATTGGTTATGAGCAAGATATTAATAACGCACAAAGTGACACGCATGATTCGCTGAAATTGAATTTTTTGCAAGATATGACCACGTGGCCACGTGAAATCCACGCGCGCACGCACGCGGAGGAATTCCCACACACTTGCTCACTGGATGGATGATCTTTGGTTTCAGGATTTGATGGATAGCAAGATAAAGATGAAATGATGTTAAGTTGATATCGATGATATCATACAAAGGTATTAGTAATAATAAATTGAAAAGATAAGTACGATTGATATCGGTGATATCATACAAAGGTAGTAGTAGTAATAGGTAGTTCGAGGAAATAAGATTTGATATCGATGATATCAATACCAAGAAGTAATAAAGAATAGATAGTTAATTACTTTTTATAATTACCGCGTGGCAGACGCCACTAATTTATTTTGTTGGTAAAGGGTTTACAGAGATAGATATTTGCGCAATACGTTGTTTTGCGTCTTTCTTTTGAGTTTTTGTTGTTGGTTTAGTTTTAAATGTTCACTGATTTCACTGGATGAAACACTGAATAGAAGATTCACGATAGCTCTACACGCAATGGCGGTTCGAACTGTACTACTGACGTGCTCGTCGTTCAAACTGGCGCGAACTTGCCGAAAAATTGCGGGAGCATGCGCAGTTGGTGGCGCCATCTCCCGTAGCTCTCACCCAAGCTCGTCATTCGCGGTTATACATACGCACATATGAGTGAATCTTCAGAACCTTTGATTTTCGAGGATCTGGGTACAAAAACTATTAACTAAAACCTTTTGTATATATGTAACAACGGATTCATAATAAATGAAGGATACAAAACAGGGTCCTACATAGTTTTTTCAATTATACTCGATAGCCGACCCGTAAAATATTCGTAAAGTTCGATTTTTTAAATAATGTATAAGAGAAGTAGTGGTGATGTCTAATTTATTAACTTCATTAAATGGATAAGTCTTCACGAATCAACACGAAAATTTTTTTTTAGGATCTCATTGACATCTACTTTAAGGCTGTATATGTTAGAATAGTGTGCCTTTCACGAATAACGAAATAAAAATGAAAATTCATAAGGAACTACTTTTTCATAAAATTTGATAATTGCAACAATTTATAATTTTGCCGAAATAAGTTTTGAAAAAAGGTATTGCAACTAATATTACTCTGTTGTGTTTGAATAACGGAACTCAATTACGTTTGGCGCTAAGGTGTGCCACCTTCCATTTAAAAGTTACGCTAATCCAAAGTTTCCTTATTCCCGCGCCCCTCGCCTTTAAAATTTTCATTTTTGAGTAGCACACGGCAGGTTCTTATCGAACGCGCTTGTACTCAACAGCTCTTTTATTTTTAGTAAAAGATAAACAGTTCTGGTATGACTTACGTTTAGATTCGTATAAACGTTCAGGATATAGGCTGAACAAGTAGTGAAAATTTCTATAATATTTATTCAACCACGAATTAAATTATTTATCGTGCTAATTCAAGGAAAAAAACATGATAAGTCTATCTATAACTCTAGAGGTTTGCTGCAGGCTTATCAACGTGTAGTCCAACTATGTACATGCGTGAGAATGTGGTAATTTCACATTTAGAATAGTATTTCAGATCGATGAAATGTCATTGATGGTGAGGTATTAGATTCGGTGTTTTCGTGATTAAATTTGTGAATGTGAATTGAGTGCTAAAACATGGAATCACCGAAGATTGATAAAGCCGCATCAAAAAGACTTGCAATGCGACAAAAGCGACAAATTGCTGCTGAGAAGAAAGCTAAGAAAACACTGAAACTAGAAGAGTTTAATAGAAACAAACAGTTGAATACACAACTACGTACTCGGTAGGCAACATAGTTAAAAACGTTTACAAGCTTTACAATTATTCGATTATGTTTAGATGTGATGTGAATTTGTGTATGTGAATTTTATAGGGATATGCAAGGTGCCAGCTCAGACAGTTTCGTGGCTGATGCTTCGCGTTCATCTACAACGCCCACAGAAGTCACTAATGACAGTTTTCACTCTAGTCTACGGAAGAGTGCCCGATTGCGTGATAACATCGCACCCACATACTTCATTTACAGAAAGCGAAAATCGATGGAAGCAGTTGAATCAGAAGAAGTCGATGACGAATGGGAAATGAGAAATGATAGTTTGAACACTGACAATCATAAAAGTCGTAAAAGAAAGAAAATTTTTGAACCTTTGAGTGATGTGAGTTCAGTAAGAAAAACAACGACGTCTACAGATTTTATTGAGATGGATGATCATCAATTTTCTACAAATGGAAACGATTCAGTTCTTTCATCAAACGACGAAAGTTCTTCGGAGATGCAGAACGAGAATGAGACTGCCAAAAATAGAGTATACAGTAGCAACAGAGATAGAAAGAAAGTTCACAGCTTGAGTAAATCATTAGCTTTTGCAAAAAAAAGAGAAAGGAAACTTCGCAGGCTTTATGCAAATGCCCTCGATGTCATCGAAAATCAGAAAATGGAGCTGAAGCGAACAAAAAATAAATTGTATAAAGCTGTATCTAAAAATACAAGTGAAGATATTCACTTACAAAAAGTAAAAGAAATAGAGAAGACAGGTAAAAAGGAGATAAGAAACTCTTTGTTGTTTGGAGAAGTGTTAAAAGCATAATTGATAGCAAATAAACGCAAACTGAAAAATGAATGTGAAAGGTCAATCTATGGGCAAGTGCTTTCAGGAAAATTGATTAAAAAATATCATTTTGCTAATAATAGGATGAAAAAAATTAACAGTGGGTACTTTCTACGTAAATTTGCTGACAGAATAGACATTACTTTCTCGCGATCGACTACTAAAAAGAAGGCTATGACAAAGAAAATCAAGGAAGCAATTCGAAAATTTCTAGAAAAAGATGAGAATTCTACAGTTTGTTCTGGAATTAAAGATGTTATTAAGAGGGGTGGAATAATTAAAAGGAAACGATATTTGGCTGATAGTTTAGGAAATTTACATAAAAAATATCTGAGGGAGGAAACATTTAATATTTCAAGGGCAACGTTTTTCAAATATAAACCATTCTGGATTTCGCACAAAAAGCTTTCAGCTCCTGATACTTGTTTATGCACAAAACATGCCAATTTCAAATTCATTTTTCAGAAACTGTGCTACCATAGGATTATAACGACTGAAAACATTCAATCATTCATTAAAGCATTAACTTGTGATCCAAATAATAAAACATGCATGTACAGGGAGTGTCCAAGTTGTAGACATAGGAGAGTGAAAGAGGTAAAAAATAGTCTGGACTCATATTATTTTAAATGGATCACTCAAAAAGAAAATAGAATTGGTGCAAAAAATAAAATATTCAATGTCACTGTTACAACTAAAATTAAAGTTAAATGTACTATTACAAAAATGATTGAAGACATTAATGCATTAACAGCTCCATTTTTTAAACATGTTTATGATACATGGCACCAACTGAATTTTTTTAAAAAGAATAAAATGCAATTGAAACCTGGTGAAGCTTAAATAGTTATGGACTTTTCTGAGAATTACGTATGTAAATATGCTAATGAAATTCAATCTGTACATTTCGGTGCGTCTAAAAAACAAGTATCATTGCATACTGGTGTAATTTATTATAAAATTTTTCCATCTAATGAGCTGAGAAGGATTTCATTCTCTACAGTTTCCGATTGTTTAAGACACGACGCAGCAGCTATCAGGGCGCATTTACGCCCGATTCTCAAACTCATTGAAACACTTATTCCTGATTTGAAAGTTATCCATTTTCGCAGCGACGGTCCAACAATCCAGTACAAGAATAAAATAAACTTCTACTTATTTCAATATCACTGTTCGAAAATGGGACTTTATCTTGCTTCGTGGAATTTCTCTTCTCCAGGGCACGGAAAAAGTAGCGCTGATGCTATTGGTGGGTCAGTGAAAGGACTCTGTGACCAATATGTTTTAGCTGGAAATGATATCACATCTGCGAAAAATTTCAAAACAGCAGTTCGATCCAAATCAAATAATATTAATATTTTTTTGGTTTCACAATTGGATATGGAAAATATTGATAAGATTGTGAAAAAGGATTTGAAACCAGCACCGAACTCAAACAAAATTTTTCAGCTGCTATGGAGTAAAGAAAAATCGAAAAAGTTATATTTAAATTACTTGTCTTGCAATGAATGTTTCGATAGTTCACCATGTTCACAT